TGTGTTTACTGGCTAGATTAGTCCAAGTGTGGATAATTCTTAAGCTGGTTTCAGGAACAAAAGGTAAACTGCAGTGTAATGTGCTGTTGTTGTTCTAATACTATGACAAGAAGAGGGTGGGATGCTAAGGTTACAAACCTCAGTTAACTGTGGACTACAACAAGTTTATGGGAGGGGTGGGGCTGAATGACCAACACTTAAGCTGTTATTTTACTGGACGAAAGACAATAAAATGGTATAAAAAACTTTTTATTTTCGACTTGACAGTTGTAAATGCTCACATTCTGTACAAACAACAGACCAACCAGCCGGCATTATCCCAGAAGGCCTTCAGAACGGACCTGGTCGAAGCTCTTGTTGAGCATCTACTTCAAAGCAGACCAGGTCCTTCTGGTATACCACTCTCTAGAACTGTACAGGACTCATCACCTTTGAGACTTACTCTTGGCAGGCACTTCCCAACAATTGTTGATAGAAGTCACAGGAAGAGATGCAGACTTTGCCTCCCAGAAAATAAAGTAACAACAAAATGTAAACTGTGTAATGAATTTCTTTGTATTAAACATTTTGAAGAGTATCACACTAGTGTTACTCTTCAAAGGAGTTAATTTTCTATATAAAAGTGTATCCTCTCTTCCTTTGTTTACAGTTATTTATTTTCTCTAAAGATTTTAATGTTTGTACTTACATTGAGTTTTGACTGAAATATTTTGTAAAGTTTTCTTTTGTTATTTATACAGTAGTGATGCTCCCTTTCATGAGTCAAAATCAGTTTACAATGTCTAAAATGTTTGTATTCACTGATACAGTTTTTCCTGTGCACAACATTAGGTATATATTTTTTTAAATTCTTCCCATTCTTTATCCTTTCATTCTGGTTGTTCTTTCTATCATGTGTCAACATTTATAGACATTTTTGTATGTTAGAATATGTATAACTTGATATTATTTCCTGCAATTTGTATGTGCAATATTCATTTTAGAAATGTATACCATTTGTGCAGAACTTTATTCTGCAAACATTTGTAAAGTATTGAATCTTTCTAAAATGTTATGAATAAACCTTTTTTTTAAAGTTGTCTATCTTCTTTTTTTTTTCTATTCGCATGTTGCTTATCCAACATGCAAAATCTTTATAATGTTCAAATAGTTATCAAATGTTTCTTAAGAAAAAGCTTTATATTTTATCTGTTATTTTCAGTAACCAATCTCTGTATGGGTTCAGTAGATTTCACCAATATCATAACCACCATAAAAAATTAGGAAATAAATATACATTATGTCTCTTTCATTCTAGAATGACAACAAAATATAACACAAAAATAAAAATGTTTAGACAAAATAGCTTAAATCTCATAACATTATACATTTATATATATTTATTATTTTTATTATATTGACCTTTCAGCCGTGCCTGGCTAACAATACAGAAGTTACAATGGCGTGGCTCACATGCACTCATGTTATGGTATCTGATAATGTAAAACTGACCTTTAGTCTTTACTAAGTGACATGTCTTGGCTGTGTTTTAGTAGACTAGTATTTTGTAAAATACAGTCGCATTTCAATTACTATACATTATATATGTATATAGATTATTGCTATTTAGAAATAAGTTCTTAAACTTATTTTTCTTTGAACATAGAACAGTAAATAAAGAAGTAAAGCAAACAATTATCTCTTCTAGTTACGACCTTTGTACTCGGTTGCTGCTTGATGTAGGTTGCTAAGGCTTTTAAAATTTTGCAAATAGAAGATATGAAACAAAATTTATTTTAGGTTTTATATATACAGTTGAATAACCACAAAATCATAAATTACTATATCTGTACCACACAGAATTCCACTATAATTTATTAAGCTTAGTAATTAAGCTGTATTTCAGTCTAAACAAAATATGAAATTTCGAGCAGACTAAAGATACAACCTACCTCCTTGAAATCTTGATTCAAAAGAAAGAATTGGCAGAAGAAATGTTAGAAAGGCTGAGAAAAC